CCTGGCAGTATTTACCACGCCTTACTCAGTTCTATAAATAGTTGGAGCTCTTGCCAAAACTCTGTAGTTACTTTGTTATAGAGCTATTTTAAAACACAGACCTTCATTGTGAGCTCAATGGCCTTCAGGATGTACTTTGTAGTTACTGCATTCCTCACAGAGCTGTATCCTTCCTTTATCTGTGCAAAGCTCCAGGACGACCAGATTCTCGGCACTGCAGAACACGGCGGGGCTGTGTAACACACACATTTAACACTTCAGAGCTTTTGTCAGGTTTGGTGGTCCGCAAGGGCATCAGCAGACTTTAGGAGTGAGCTTAAGGAGCAGCAGGCAGTAGAAACCTTACAGGAAGATGCAGTTCCAGCCCTCAGCCAGAGATCTGGAGAAGGCTGACTGCCGTAACACATTTGGTCCATTCTGATAGCACATTGTAAACTAGACTTTTAGCTTGGACCGCATGAAAAAATTAAATTCTAGTTTAATTGTTATTATGCATGGGATAGATGGGTCAAAATCATAGTGCTTAAGAATACATGCAAATGTCTGGTTGTTAGTCACAGAGTGTTGGAGACCAGCTTTGACAAGGATACCACTTGCCAGAGTAAGGGCTTGGGGACTAGAAAAACAAGTAAAGAGAATGAAGACGCGAGTATCAGGATAGTATCAGTAGAGAGTTCCTGTGAATACTGAAATCATCCATGTTTAATTTCCATTTGCTTAAAATACTCCAAACCCAAAGGTAGGAGTAAGATACAAACTGCATTAACACGACACAAGGAAATAAGCAGACTAACACAAGGACTGACTGCAGGCTACATTCGTAGTTAAACATTCTGTTGCCAGAACAAGACAAGTAATGCTCACACCCTAGACCAAAACATTCTGTAGGCAAACCACTCCCTGGGTGAAATCCATTGTTATCTCCCAAAGGGAGTAGGAATTTAGTTGGGTCCTTAGACTCCTGTTTGAGGTAGAAACAGATCTACTTCTTAATACCTGAAATACCAGGTCTGGATATTAGCCACACCTGTTGACAATAACCTTGAGCAAGCAAAACTCTGTAACCTAAATCAAAGTAGGACCTTCCTTTGAGGTAGAAACAGACAATAACCTTGAAGGAACAAACTAAGGTCCAGCTCTCTGACCTTAGTCAAGATAGAATGGACCCATACCTGTGGGCCCTGTCAACAGAGACCAATAGGCATAAATCATGATAGCTCAATGCCTGGGATATCACTGGGAATACAGCAAAGAGCTTATGGGCTCCTTGAGGCTTATACTTACATCTACAGGTGCAAGCATCAATGCACAAACCCAACAATCATGATGACTTAGGTAGAGAGCTCCTCTGGAGGAAGTATTAGTACAGTACAGTACCATACAGTAGGCTGGGGTGAGTTGCTGCAGAGGCTGCTAGGACGCTGTTACTTTAGAAGACGCAGGAAGATGTGCACCACTTGGAGTGAGGTGTACGTGACGAGGATCACACCCGTCCTTTCCTGTCACAGGTGTTGCAAACTCTATCAAATTAGTCTCCTGAACTTTGGTATCTCATCTAAATGGTGGAAACAATAATTTATTCATTCTATCACATAAAATAGAGCCATACTCACTTATAAAATTCATTTTAATGAAATTAAGTAGAATAACTTCTTTGTGTAAACTTTTTTATGACTGTGAAATGTCATTTTAAGAAACATATACTACTTTAAAGCAACAAGAAAACTGTGAAGTCATGGACTCTAAATTGATATCAGTGACTTCAAAGACACTTCTTTTTCCTCAGTATGCAGTTGTTTTACGAGAACACTGCCAACTGGTTGAAACCGTTCCGGGGAACATCCCGTTATTTTCTAGTGGTAAGTATGGAAAGCACCATGAACAGTATGACAATATGCTCCAGGTTTCTGCAAATGCATATCACAGCACTGAATAAAATTGTTTCCTTTGTGAGTAAACAGGCTTAAAAATTACCTGTATAACTTAGTCATTTGCTGAGTTGATTCATTTTTCTTTCAAAAGACCTACCATGGATGCAATCAGCAGAGTTTTGATTAAGTTCTCAGTAATATCTTAAAATCCTAGAGTCTCCTGCACTGAAAATACTCATGTAGCTTTGGGTCGCCCCTCTAATGAGAGATGTTATATAGCCTAAAGCCAAACAGATTAATTTCCAACTACAAATGAAAAGACAAATTGAATTTCCACTACTTTTTAAATCAAAGCATTTTAATGGGAAGGAAAAAGAACAAATTAAAGGATTATGACTAGCTTGGTAAGTATGGAGTTAGAGTGAAGGGAAATGATTCCCTTTCATGAAAGAACAGTGACACAGAGATGCCCAAGAAAGAACTACATTATTGTAGCAGATGAATACAAATTTTTCCTGTGTACTGTGACTTTACTGCCCTCCACCTCAATTTTTGGAGGTAGTTGCACAAACTTGATGCTTTATTGAAGACCACTTTCTTATCTCAAGAACATGATGAGTTTCAATCAAAGTTATACACCTTGCCATAGAGCCTAAATTAACACTCATTGTAAGGTCAAGGGCCTAAGAAGAATCACAAACTTAGAGAAGTTCTTAAGTAACAAAAACTGTATTTTTTTTCTCCCCCATCATAAAATAATGTTTTTTTTATAGGAAAAACTTAAAACATTTAACTTTATGCTTAATGCTAAGCACTATTTATACTGCGTTTTTCTCTTCTCCTCCCTGTCTACTAAAATGACCTTTGCTGTACATTTACAGTGTGCTCAAAACCCGCTCACAACTTCATACAAAACAGGCATGCAAAAGAGTTTTGTCTCGGACTTGATGCACTCCCGCTCCAGGTTTCCATTTCATCACCTTTCGTTATCTCCTTTTCCACATGTTTAGAACTGAGGGGATGCGGCCAGTGAAACTGTCAAAGAGCTAGGAATAGAGGTGTCCTCAGACAAGCAAAATGCTTCCTGTATAATACGCAGGCAGGGATAGTGCAAGCACACTGGGAAGGAAGGGCGCCTGGGCCAGAACTGAGAGGAGACAGCCCCTGGAGTCCAAGGCCTGGCAGGAGGCTCCTTATCTCTGCATGTCTACACATTCTGTCCCAGGCTGTTTTCAAGGATAGCTCAAGCCATCCTTGGCAGATAACAGTAACTGGAAAGTATTACAGTACTTCTCCTGAAGAAAAAAAATCTGTTAGTAGATATCAGAAATTACTAAATTGAGCCGTTATTTCAGCCTGATGATTCTTTTTAACTTGGAATTCAGAATAAAATACTCACAGGTATAGGCAAGTTCATGACTCTCCCTAGAGATCTCAACAAATTTACACACTCTTCCTAAAATGAACTCCTAAGACAACTGTCCAGTCGCTCTATGCCCTGCCTAATTTCTCTGTCTTGAATCTCAGAATATGGAGCATTTCCCAGTTTGTTTGGGTGAGCTTCTGGTAACACTGTCTCTACATAAAGGCAAGCTTCCTCCCTCTGAAGGAGAGTAGCTCACACTGAAAAATGATACTGAGCTGGAGGCCAGCATAGGAGTCTTCATCATAATGAAGAAATGCAAAAAGAATGGAGAATCATTCTTCTAGGTTTTTTTTTAAAGCACATTTTTGAGATACATACAGGAAATAGCTGATTATTTAAACCAAATATATAAATGGATATTGAGCAATCAAAGATTGTAATTAGTTTCTAAACCCTGACGAACTCAACACAAAGCTGCAGTTTTTTTGGGGAAGGAAAGGCTATGTAGCATTCACTAGGCTTCTACTACCCACTAGCGTCATGCCTCTTCTGCCGGCGGCAACTTCAAGTATCATTTTCTACAGGCACACAAGACAACAAGCTCAATTTCTAAGATGCCTTTCAAGTTCCCAAATGGCACAAATTAAAAAAACAGTGTAAGACATGAGGCTGGGATGACCTCTTAAAAGGGCAGAAAACAATAGATTGCCAGTAAGGTTAATTTCTGGACAAATCTCTATTTTCTTACTTTTTTTTTCTACTAAATGTTCGTACACTTCTGTCGCAAGTATCAATAGTAGTTCAGACCAAGGTTGCAGCCTGCACTTGAGGCAACTAATCACCCTTTAAAGTTTTAATAAGTAGGCAACAGCTGAGGAACTTCCAAATGCTAAGGCACTAAGGCTTACCTGAACTCTGATGCTCACAGCGGCCTACAGAGTAGGCACTATTTGCATTCTACAGTCAAAAAGCAGGAGGGCAGAGAGGCTGAGCATTTTGTAGATTTCCACACAGCATTTGAAGTTTAATTTCAGCTTATATATAAAATCTAGTCTCGGAGTCAATGCTTGAGCGACACTCCACTTCATCATGTTGCAAAAGCAATTTTCTTTCTTTTGAATTTTTTTTAATTTTTATTATTTTTTTTTGTAAAAAAAAATACCAATCCAAATTCCCACTCCCTCCTCTCCTCCCATTCCCTACACACACCCTCCCACCCCACGCCCCTCCAATCCTAAGAGAGGGTAAGGCACTTTGCTTTGTGGAAGGTCCAAGGCCCTCCCTATTATCTAGGCTGAGCAAGGTATCTATCCAAAGAGAATAGGATCCCCAAAAGCCAATACATGCAGTAGAGACAAATCCTAGTGCCACTGCCAGTGGCCCCTCAGTCAGCCCCAGCCAAACAACTGTCAACCATATTCAGAGGGATTAGTTTGGTCCTATGCTTATTCCTTCCCAGTCCAGCTGGCAAAGCAATTTTCAAGGTAGTTATGGATGAACTGAAACTCTCTATGTGGACCAGACTGGCCTCCATCTCATAGAGACCCACCTGCATCTGCCTCTCAAATGCTGGGATTAAAGACACATGCTTCCATGCCCAGTGGTCAAGAGTATTTATAAAGTTAAAGTCAGCACAGACGGTGTGATGTTCTTAAATTCAACTAATATTCTTTTTTTCTTGATAAAAAAAAAAATGAGGTTACTCACTATACCAGCAGGGAAACAGAATGACATTTGAGTTCGATATTTTCTTTCATTATTAGGAATCACAAGGTCAGCAGCATTGGATGTTTCCACTTTGGCAAATGAAGGAGGTTGCTCACCACGAAAGACAAGTAAAGATACGCAAATGAGCAAGCATTTGGCACAGAAGAAAATCTAGAATGATGAGACATACTGACAATGGAATGATAGAGTTTTTTGACTTCTGATGATGACGAGAATTCCAAGGATTATGAGAAACATCATGTCTCCAAGGCTTGAGCAGGTATCTGGTTCTCTTATAGAGCACCTTGAGTGGACTTCTAAACCAGATCTGATTTAATCAACTCTCACATTCCTCCGCCTCACGCCTGACCCCTTAATGCTTATCTCGCTTTTCCCTCAGCTGTCTCTGTGTTTCCTTTGTCTTTATCTCTTCCAATCACTGCTAAAATACTCCTCCTCTTTGCATTGGAGTTACTACCTCAGAATTTATACATTCGTCCATTTCTTCAATTCTACGGGTTTGAGAACTCTGAATCTAGTTAGGTATTTCTAGCACATTTACAATAATGTTATTTTAGATGTAATTTTACAGCTCTCAGCTTTATGCTACACATACTTGTTATAAAAATTAACTGACACCAGTTGGTATATTTGGCACTCTGATCTTACATTATTGTAAACTCACACTTTGGTGAGTTACAAGTGTGCTTCCTATAGTATATTATGCAGTCTTGTGTTTTCAATGTGAAGCAAGAGTCTTTATATTTTCAGCATGTGTCAGCCTTTTCGCTATTTTAACAGGTAGGTGATAGGACGACTTTTTATTTTTCCATTCATATATTTACATGTGTTATTGTAAAAATTAAAGGCAACAATGTGTCAAGGCCATTGGAAAACTCTATAGGTGATACTAGTATATTACATCCAAGGCTGAACTTAATGTAGCTGTTAACTTAAAGATCAAAATGGTGGCTCTTTATTCCGTGTGATTTAGGAGAACTTTCAGTAAACAAGATATCTTTATATTTCTAGGTCCAGCTGGCAGACATTGCCTTTCAAAGTGAAGGAAACCCTGTAATAATTTTACATCAACGCCCTGGCCTATGGGGACATCTAAGTAACAGAAGTGTTTCAGAAGGGGAAACACTGACAAGTGTTAATTACCTTAGACATGAGGAAAATGTACATTATCATTAAGTAACTAGTTGACATAATCGCTAATTGTCTACATCCTTGAGGATTCTAAAATTCAAGATTATATAAAGGGGTTATCTTTTTTGTGTCATAAACTAGAGAAACAACAAATATTGTAACACTTATCAATTCCTTTGTAAAATTAGTTGATAATAATATTCCCTAAATTACCAGGGAGAATTTGAAGACAGGCTCTAGTTTTTCTCTTTTCTTAAAATGGATCTTTACAAAAAAGAAAAATTTGCCTAGCAAGACAAAGAATTAGGGAAGGGTGTCTTTTCTTCCTAGTGGAAATACAATTATATATTTGTGCTTCCTAGCCAAGGTGAGAGACATACACACTGGGTATTAAAATTGACTGCTGCCGGACTCAGTCAGATCATCTTCCCCGCCTTCAGATGATGCCATACAGCAATTATTTCACAAAGATTCTACCTCTCCTATTTTTAAGACTTTCCGGAAAAGGAGCAACACAACCTTCCTTAGCAAACTATTTTGATATTTCACAGCTCTGACCCAGGAAATTCTTCCCCTCAGTTAATCCCTCAAAGAATACTTGGCCTTCGTTCCTCTTTTCTATCCCCCTGTGCAGAGAACAATATCTGGCAGACATGTCCTTCTTTCCTACACTTGAAGACTGGAATAAATTTCACCTATTCTCTTAATCCTTTCCTTACTTCGCTTTCTTTTCCCCCATTGTCAAAGTTCTTCCTTTCAAATTATGTACTTGCCTTTAGTCTGAGAATCCAAAAATATACATAGTCATAAAAGAAAGATGTTCAGGCTGGGTGTGGTGGTGCATGCCTGTAATTCCAGCATGTCAGGGGGTGGAGGCATGAAGTCTCAGGCCAGCTGAGGCTACACAGCAAGGCACTGCCTCAAAACCCTTCCCCGACTACTTAAGCACTATTGATTATCTCACCCATTTTAATTTTGTCTTGCTACCCTTGCCAGGCTTGTCTTCAGCCAACTTCTCCCTTCCCTCTTTCAAGACACTCTAATTGCATAGGATTCTTTAGCCATTTAAAGTTATCCCTTAAAGTACTGATTTCACTATTTCTGTAACTCCCGCTAAAATTTGGGTGTTTGGGACGTCTTTTCCCCACTGATGAATGAGGTTGTCATCCAGAACAAAATCTTGAAAAACTGAGATTATATCTATTACTTTTCCTCTATATTATTAATAAAGAAAATCTTCCCACCTAGCAATTATTATTATCAAATGATTCTGTATTCATTTTGTGCTCATGCTCTGAGTTCTTAGGATGGAAATCACAAACTGGATTTAGTTTTAGAAAGAAGAGACCTACTGACTGGGTCATCTTTTATTTTATTGAAAAAAAAAGATACGATACGCTATGATAGTTAATTACTAAACTTCTTTAGCCGGTAGCTTGTAGACTTGCAATAGCTGTAATAGCAAAAATTTCAGCAACTAGATAACCTTAACCTAAGCTGCCCAGGAGGAATTCCATGAGCTCATCATTTCTTAGTGCCACTAGCTTCTCAATACTGGTCACACATTAGATTTCATGTCACCACGAACACAAGTTCGTGTTACTGAGGAATAAAGGTTAAAAAAAAATCAAAGCAACACTTTATTCATTCCATAATTCAGTGATATATTTAGAGTAATTATTGTTCTTTATGATGCATGAACGATTGAACGGGCAGAGGTTTATGCTCTCATGGAATTCACAGTTCTTGTGCTCCCTATGCTTATTTCCCGTCCATGATAAAGAGGAAAACACTTTACGTTGTTGGTGCGTTGGGTAAAACTAAGTACATTTATAAAAAGTATTTTCATTTTCCCGTTTCTACCTGAATTCAAGCCTTTACTATGTCTTAGAATATGCACCTCCCGCATGTTAATTCTTCCCTTTCTCGCAATTCTATTTTATTTCCGCTTCCATTCAGTTCTAACCCCAGAAACCCAACAGCTCCTTTCTTTGCAAATTCTGATCTAATCTATAGTTTCCTCAGGCCTCTCTGACAGTTTTTACTCTCCGCACTAAGTTTTCTAAGGGCATCCTGTAATACACTGAAATCCCGAAGTCTATTCTCTTAAAGTGCATCTTTTGTGCAGCCCGGGTCTTCACAGCTCTAACTGTGCCTGGACTCGGAACCTAGAATATTGGGAAACCTTGGCTAACCACCAGGTTTGATGAAAACTTATTAATGCAAACTATTTGTCTCAGCTTCATTGAGAGGGAGACAGAAAGAGAGAGAGAGGGAGAGAGAGAGAGATACATGAAGAAGGACTATGTGACTTCATGTTTCCTGATGTTGTGTAACTGAGTGATCTGTGACAATAATATTTAAATATTTCTATTATATTCAGATGAGAGCTAGTGATCAATCACTATCATATAATAAGAGATAGTGGATTGCAATTGAGTGCAATTTCAGACATCAATCACATAAAAATAAGGTAAAAGATACACAATGAGAAAAATCCTTTCTGAGAATTTATGAATACAGAATAAGCTGTGAAATTACAGTAAATAAAGAAGTGGGAAATACAGTGATGATTTCTTTGTCAGAATTTTAGTTTTTATTAAATGTGTTGGGAAAACTCTCAGGAGGATGAAACAGTGAGATAAAACAGAAAATATCTGTGGAGCTGGGTGTTTATCAGAGTGTCATGTGTCTAGATAAAGTTTTCATATTGTATATGGGAGTCTAAATAATAATAATCGTTTTAGAAAAAAGTGATATTCCAAGTTACAATCTCCATTGAATCTAATAAGTCAAGTTTACTTGACTTTCTTTTCACCTTTTAAGGCAGTGAAATGACCTCATACTATGGCTACATCATGGCACAGTATAATTGTGTGAACTGCATGGAATTATGGGACAAAATGCCTTGAATTTTTAAAGAGAATAGCATGAAAATAAGTGAAAAAAATTCCCGCATTATTAGAGATTCTTTTCCCAGAAGTACTGAAATTACTGGTGTGTAGAATTCTGACAGTGAGGCATCTGGACTGGACTGTACACATGACGATGCTCACTGTGGCCAATGTTCAAAGCAAATGATGTCCTTCACTTGCCCTACCTAGGAGAGGGCATTATGGAGATAGAGCATATACCAGTATTTCACAAGCTCCCAATTCATGTGGTGTTAAGACATCGATCTCAGCTTATTAAAATTTAGACCCTTTATTTTGCAAAAGCTCTCCAGTGTGTTTTCCGTGTGTGTGTGTGTGTGTGTGTGTGTGTGTGTGTGTGTCTTAACAATAAGAAAGGAGTCTCATTTGAATTTCTTGTTTTATCAGCCCTTTGCCATTTCCTAAGCCTCTAAGTCTACTCTTTGCTCACACACCTAAACAGAAACAGGTTCACTATCCCCTAAAAATACGGCAAATGCATATACTATTTAACTTTAAAAACCTTCCCCCCCCGTGAAACCCTATATTTTAGAATTTACCTAAAAAAGAAAGCAAATTCTATTTCTTGAATTCTATTGACACATTCCAAGAGAATCAATTATCTATTAGACAGAAAACTGGTATTCAATTATACTAAAGTTGTGATTTCCTTAATTCCAAAATTCAGTTTGAGAATTTAATGCTTTTCTAGCACTCAATCTCTTTATTATAAGTTGCACGATATTAACTAGGTAATATACAGGTTTCTAAGTAAAGATATCATGATTTATGATCTGTTGCCAAATATCCATGTCTTTCTGCACTAGACTGTTATGTTAAGAAATCCAAGTTCAGATTAAAAGCACAAGCAGGAAAGAAGAATAGGATTTGTCCATTTTTGTCCTAATTTGTGCTTGATGATTTATTTCTCTGAAACAATTCTTCTTCATCCTTGCTGTAGTGTTCACACTGAATGATCATATCCCCAGGACACTTTCTATTATTATAATTAGAT